TATATGTGCCTCACAATGGCATGTACACACTTGTCGTGTCTCATTTCTAGGCCAGTTCTTCACGACTGCATTATTTGCCCTGGCCCTGCTAAACGTGACATCTATTATATAAGTTCACCTTTTCCACAGAGGTTCAAAACGTGACAAACTTCCACGAATGGCAAAACTGTTTGCGATGAAAGTGGCAAAACTGGTTTGCATGGCAAACAGATTTGAGGAAGTTGTCGACTTGTGTTGTTGTTGTAACAGCAAAATAGAAAACACTTTGGAACTAAAGATAAGGTAGGCAGAGTCTTAGTATTGAACCAAGTGAATTACCAGAACGTATCGTTTGACTGCTTTATATATAGTAATGAAAACTCGAATGAAATTCTGCGATTGGGGCTGCTGTGAAAAAGTCAGTCCACCCTTAAGTATTTCAATTTTTCATATACGAACTGGTGTTACAATGACATAATGTTTGATATCAAATATGTGTTATTTATAATAAAATAGTTATTATTATCGTCGTTAACATACTGTATCATAGTCATATATGAGTCAGGGCACAGAAAAGAACAGAACAGATGTTTCAATATTTTGTCTATCTTAGAAAGCACAAAAAGACCATTCAAATGAGCCATTGCTTTTTCGAATTTGCATTTAGCACATTTTTGGACATTTTTGGCTCTGTAGCAAAATTTAGATTTTTCAATAAGACCAGTTTTCTTGTTTCGGGGCTCATATACTTTACGTATATAATTATTCAACTATTTCAGAAAGTGGAGAATGGTGTTTGTCTACGAAATAAGGAAAAACAATTAGCCAGTCAAAAATACAAAGAAAGCGACCTGGGTGCGACGAGTTGGGGCCCTAGTGTAACACAGTACGATCTTGTTCAACTGGTGTATGATATAAACAGCCATCTGACCAAGCTATGTAAATACAAAACAACATCACAAGGAGTTGATGCAATTAAAAGAGAATGGAAAATGGTTGTGCTTGTTATTGATAGATGTTTCTTTATCTTATCCAGTATTTTTACGATAGCTTTCTCATTGTGTTTTATCCTATATAAAGCTGAGCCTGATTGACTGGGATTTATCCTTTTATATATGTGAAATATTTCACTTTTTAATGAATGAACATACGAGTACCCTGTATATCTTACTTGAATTTTTGATGATTCTACTTTAACACGTGGAACTATATTGCGTTTTAATATCACCAAGCCTGATTAACTTTTATATGTGTAGTTTCAGATAAATGAATATATATCACACATTAATGTGTTAACAAGTTACTTAAATGTGTGGATTTACGATTCAATGTGTGAACATATTACACATTTCATTTAAATGTGTGGAAATATTACAAAATCATTCAAGTCAATACAGCGTGCAAAGGTAGGGTAGTTGTTCTCATTCCCAGGTGTCAAAACGTCTTAGAAACACAAGGCACTAGTAAAATCTTGATTGGACACCGTGATGCAGAGAAATCATAAATTTGGGCCACCCCAAGGCGTCATTTTCTAGAATTGTTCCCTGGTCCGCGCACGTGGCAATAACATATTTTTAATTACATCATTGACAAACATGGTTAATGATGTTCTATTCATCCATCTTACTATCTTCTCCAACAATCACTACAGAGTGTACATTTAAAATAACTTTAGTCTAAAAATATATTTTAAGCAGTCTTTATTGATAAATCTTATTTGTCACAATGAAATATGTATACATATTTTGCGATATTATTTAGATTGACATTGTATTGTTTGGTTAAGCAAAGCAGCATTCTTAATACAGTGTGACACAAACATGTAATACAGTCATAGAACATTCACTAAAATTGAAATTATTACATTGATAGCAAAATGTCAATTCATCTAGAGACCTCTATTACTTTGGGATATAACTGGATCATAAATATAGATGAGAAGGTACAACATGTTTACAAGATATGTACTAAACTGTTTATGGATATCTCAACACTCAATAATAATAGAATAGGACCCTGGTGAATCATGGCAGAATCAGAATCAGAATCCCTTTAAAGATCTTTGAAATCTTATCAAAAGTTAATGCTATCTGACATTAAAAGTGCTAACTGTTTTTATTTTCTAAAACCAGTTCACTTATTCAAAAAATAGAACGATTTATATTTAAGACGACTTCATCGATGCAAGCAACAAAGTTATTCCAAATAGAGGGTTGCTTTTTGCCACCATGAATTCCAAACATTAATTCAGTAACGATGTCATATGTGTTATTACATTATATCTAAGAGACAATCTAAAAAATGTATGTTATTCAATACAGCGTTAACATTTTTGAAAATCATAAAACACCCGAGACAAGTACTTTAGCTTTGTTTATGTTTGTGCATGATACATACAGATGAATGACCAATATTTAACAAGATGCTTCTATATCAAGGCTATATCGAGCTTTGCATGGCATTTGTTTGTTTGTCATTTCTTTACATCTATGAATGTTCAAACCTTATACTCATTAATGTGGATGATGTACATGTTTGGTTCATAAAGACTCTTAAAATAGAACATATACATTTTTAAGAAACCTATGTAGTAACAGCATATTCTGATCGCATTTCAAATATACGTATATTTGAGATAACAATATGATTTGCACAAGAGCACAAATATTATATTTTACTATTATATTAACTTGCATTGAACAAAAGTTGGAGCTATAGTTCCGGGCAATAATGGCGGGACATACCGGAGTTTATCAGAAATAGGGCAAAACTGCCCTAATTCACGTCACCATACTAGTCAATGGGCAAAAGGGCAATCGCCTGACTTTTTATCTCGAGTTATGGATTTATGTGGCCTCACTGGCCTATCTGAGGTTCTAAAGCTATGTCTAAGCTACATCTTGACACTAAACTCAATAGGGGCCAAACATCTACTTTTTGAAATAATTGGTCAATTGTGACACTACCCCCTCTCTCTGCAGACACAAATTGAAATTCACAAAAATGAAGGCAAAATTAATACGCCACTTGACTCGAAATTTTCCTTAAGATAACCCAAATAAACGCATTTTAAGAAGAAATGGCATGTTGTTATTGCAAAAAGATTACAACTGTGCCTACATACTAGCTTACTGACTCGTCATGATCACAATTGTGTTGGGACTACATTTATTTTTGAATACTACTTTTTCTATTCAGGGGAAGTGACGTATTAGGGCATTTTGGCCTAGGCCCACTGGACGTTTATTTTGCACAGGTCGTTTATTTCAAAGAACTCAAAATTTCAAATAAGGCATTCGGGAATGCATTAAAGTTAACGCTGTAGATAAAATGTTAACACAAACGAACAAAATGGCGCTTGGCAATGTTATAGTTTAAGTTCTGATACGATTTGAAACGCAACATAATCTATAATTCAATAATTAAAATGTGTCTGGGCATTACTCGAGAAATCCTTGAAATGAACGCCCATCGGTCTTTATAATGAGGGAAAGAATTTGACATACACCATTTTTTCAAATAAACGCCCATGGTCCTATTCGCGAGAAATTCTGATAGTGGTCATAATACAGCTGGTACAGGGCGAACGTCGAATTGGATCTTAATTTTCTAAAGGTGGTGATAGTACTAATAACTACATATCTGCAGTTTAATGCCGATATCTCTGAATTATATTTAAGCTTCATTGCAGTATTTTGCAGTCATCGTAAAGTCACGAACACCTAAATCAATTGATTCTTAAGAACCCACGATGAATTACGTCATCAACATCATCCTTAATCCAGGAAATGGTTTCCGTATTCAAATAAACAACTTGTTTGTTCTAAAAGCCGGACCCGTGGCTAGGAGGGTTCGGGACCCCCTCCCCCGGTCAAAAATATTTTAAATCATGCAGTTTTGACCATTTTGAGCACTTTTCAATTGATTTTGGCAAAATCTATCAAAAGTGACCCCACTGGAATTTTTGAAGA